GAAAAAGGGGAGGCAAGCAAAAGGGGTCACAAGACTGGTGGTTCCTGTTGAAGGCAGTGCAGGCCCAATTGAGGCTGGGCTTACGGCCGAATGGATTAAACACTCAATGCTCTGAAACCTGCCAGGCTGACCCTTGCTCAGCTCAATCAGATCTGCCAGGGACATTGGCTTGATGAGGTTAAGCAAGCCATTCAAAGCGATGGACACCCCAATTACCCTGATGTGATCATGACACATCATATGCCTGTGTCCCAAATATTGCATGCACCCCATAAATATGTACAACTATTATGTATTCATAATTGAAAATAATCTTTAGCCGGGCGTGGGGGCTCATACCTGTAATTCCAGCACTTTGGGAGGCCAGGCAGGTGGATCATGAGGTCAGGAGTTCAAGACTAGTCTGGCCAAAGTGGTGAAACCCTGTCTCTACTAAAAATACAAAAAATTAGCCAAACGTGGTGGCAGGCACCTGTAATCCCAGCTACTTGGGAAGCTGAGGCAGGAGAATAACTTGAACCTGGGATGCAGAGGTTTCAGTGAGCTGAGATTGCACCATTGCACTCCAGCCTGGGTAAAAAGAGTGAAACTCCATCTCAAATAAATAAATAATATTTTTTAAAAAACACTATCATGAAAGCAAAAGTATGCACACAGGGGTATCTTTTGACAGGGTGCAGTAGCTCATGCCTATAATCCCAGGACTTTGGGAGGCCAAGGAGGGCAGTTCACAAGGTCAGGAGTTCGAGACCAGCCTGGTCAACATGGAAAAACCCCATCTCTACTAAAAATACAAAAAATTAGTCAGTGTGGTGGCAGATGCCTGTAATCCCAACTACTTGGAAGTGTGAGGCAGGAGAATCACTTGAATCTGGGAGGCCGAGGTTTCAGTGAGCCGAGACCACGACACTGCACTCCAGCCTGGGCAACAGAGTGAGACTCCATCTCAAAAAACAACAAAAAAAGAGGTATCTTGTGTTTGGCTCTTGTTCATATCTGCTATGTGACGCTGAATAAGTCTCTTTCCCTTTCCGGTTCTCTGACTACACAGGTAGGCATCAAAGTATCATGATTCTCTAGGCTGTTACACCCACAAATGTGCCTTTGTTTCCTATTCATTACTTCAAGACTGAGACCTTTTAGCTGGGGCAGGCTCCCTGACTGGAGTCCTACACTATCGTTCTCTCAAAAAGCACAAGAATGAGTGGTCTATAATTTTCTGTTTCTGTTCCTTTAAAGGAAACAATAATTTAAAGCCACCTGCTTTATGCATGAAGGCGTACTCCTGGGCATGAGTGGATCTGTTGCAACTTATTTTCTCAATCTTTTACAGTCATCTCACTCTTAGCTAATTCTATGCAATGCTTGCCTTTATTGCATCTTTCCAAAGAATTCGATGTTGGTTTTCTAAGAACGGCAATCTTTACACTCATCTGTTTATATATATATAAATTATATATATATAAATTAAATATATATATAATTAAATCTGTATATATATATATAATTAAATCAAAAATATTTAACAACTACAACTGCCATTTGGGAGCAAACAAAATCTTATATGTATTTATTTAGAGACAAGGTCTCACTACAGGAGCAAATAAAGTCTTATTTATTTATTTAGAGACAGGGTCTCGCTGATGCCCAAACTAGTCTCAAACTCCTGAGCTCGAGTGAGTCTCCTGCCTCGACCTCCGAAATGACAGGCATGAGTCACCGCTCCTAGCCAGAATCTTTTCTTTTCTTCCATTAATTTAGAAAGTTTATTTTGCCAAGGTGGAGGATGCCAACCCATGACACAGCCTCAGGAGGCCCTGCCGACACATCCCCAAGGCAGTCAGAGCACAGTTTGGTTTTACACATTTTGGGGAGACATGAGACGTCAATCAACATATGTAAGATGAACATTGGTTGGTCTGGAAAGGTGAAACAAAACTCAAAGTGGGGAGTGGCCTTCCAAGTCATAGGCAGATTAAGAGACAAGTGGTTGCATTCTTGTGAGTTTCCAACTAGCCTCTCCAAAGGAGGCAATCAGGTATGCATGGATCTCAGTGAGCAGAGGGGTGACTTTGAACAGGATGGGGGCAGGTTTGCCCTGAGCAGTTCCCAGCTTGACTTTTGCCTTTAGCATCATGATTTTGGGGTCCCAAGATATTTTCCTTTCCTATTTCCCCCCTTTTCTTTTTTAAATCTTTTAGAGAAAGCATTTTAGAAGAAAATGAGTCTCTGGTCTCAGGCTTTGTCTGATCGCTCGTGGCTAGGATGGTTTATTACTAGAGGGGTAGGTCTGGAGTTATGAAGAAAGCTCATTTTTAGGAGGTTGTAAAGTTTCACATCCTATTAAGAGAAAATGGCGGGGGGAGGGAGAGCAAGAATAAACCAAAGAACAATCCTGGAAAATCAAGATATAAGCCACATTACTCACACGTCAGTAGACAGGTATCAAAGTGGCTTATGTATGTAAATATGTTGTTATTTTTCTTCTGAAGTTTAAGTTGTCTAGCTTCAGTTCTCAGGGCTTTCTCAATCAATCAAAATAATAATAATAATAAAGATAGCTGGAAAATTCCGAAATATATGGAGATTAAACAACACACCTCTAAATATCACATGGGAAGGAAGAAGTCTCAAGAGAAAGCACAACTCAGTTTTCAGTGACTCCAAATTAGGGAAAGTGGGGAGAAAAGAAGGAAAAATGGAAAACGTTATTTTGGAGACTTGTAGCCAAGAAAAATTAGAATTCAGTCCAAACTATAGAAAATAATAAATATTGAAAAACGTGAGGTAAGACTAGACTCTAACAACAGGTGCACTATAGTTTTTGAAACATAACATTTCTCCAGTTTCCCATTTTTACTAAAGATGAATCATTGCAGGACTAGTTTGCTTTGTCATACTTGGCCTAATTACTTGCATACAGTGCAGCAAGAATCTTCAATTGTAAATAAAGTGAGTAGGGGAAGGAAGTACCCCACCCCCATGGCGACATTGAGTCTTAGGCAGGAGTCAATGTCTTATACAGCAGGAATGGGGAGTGCCAATTCATGAATAACCTGGCTGAGAGAGGGGTTGTAAGATAGTTGGCATTTACAAAATATTTCATCCAACAACAACAGGAAACACATTCTTCTCAAACTCACATGGAGCATTCACCAAGACATATCACGTTCTGGGTTAGAAAACACACTTTAACAAATTTCAACAGACGTACGTCATACAAAGCATGCTCTTTATTACAATGCAATTAAAAAAGGAATCAATTAAAAAAAAAGATAGCTGGAAAATTCCAAAATATATGGAGATTAGAGAACACACCTCTAAATAACACAAGGGGTAAGGATGAAGCCTCAAGAGAAATTTTTAAATATTGTGGGCCAGGCTCAGTAGCACATGCCTATAATCCGAGCACTTTGGGAGGCTAAGGCAGATGGATCGCTTGGGCCCAGGAATTTGAGACCAGATTGGGCCATGTGGTGAAACCCCGTCTCTACCAAAAATACAAAAATTAGCCAGGCATTGTAGCATGCACCTGTAGTCCCAGCTATTTGGGAGGCTGAGGTGGAAGGATCACCTGAGTCCGGGAGGTCAAGGCTGCAGTCAGCTGAGAGTGTGCCACTGCACCCCAGCCTGGGCAACAGAGTGAGACCCTGTCTCCGCAAAATAAATAAATACATTTTGAATTAAATTAAAATGAAAAAGCAGCCTATCAAAAAGTGTGGGATGTAGTGAACGTAGTGGTTAGAGAGAAATTTATAGTGTTGAACACATGTATTAGGAAAGAAGGAAGCTCTAACTCAGAGAGGGTTCAATAGGTGATGCACAGGGGATTTTGAAACTGTTGCAGGGGAGCCCTCAAACTGGGGCACCACCAGGGAAGGTTCTTGCCTTTGTCCAGGAAGGAAATTCAAGGGTGAGCTAGAGGAGGAAGAAAAAGGTTTATTGAGGTGGAAGGATTACAGCTCCATGACTGCCCCTGCAGAGCAAGGTCACCCCATAGGCAGTACGTGGAGAGCAGCAGCTCAGGGCACTTCTGCAGTCACATTCATACGCACTTTTCAATACATGCAAATTAACGGGCAGGTTATTCAGAAATTTCTAGAAAAAGGATGGTAGCTTCTGGGTCATTGCCAGGGAATAAGTACACTGTTCATGCTGCTGCAGTGCATGTCAGCCAGTCTTCAATCTGGTCCAGAGTCAAGCCCCACCTCTGGAGCTGAATCCCACATCCTACCTCAATACTATTCGGCATGATGCTGTAATGGTGGATACATGACATGTTATGTTTGGCAAAACCCACAGAACTGTAGGACACAAGAGTGAACCTTAATGTAAACCTTAATGTAAATAGGCTCTTGTTAATTATGATGTATTAATATCAATTTATCAATTGTAACAAATTTATCACAACACTGTTAATAATAGAGGAACTTATTGGCAGAAGGACAGGCAGCTTATGGTACTCTGTACATTCAGCTTAATTTCTCTGTAAGCCTGAAACTGCTGTAAGAAATAAAATCCAACCTGGGCAACATAGCAAGGCCTTGTCTCTACAAAAAATAAAAAATGAGCTGGGCACAGTGACGTATGCCTGTAGTCCCAGGTACTCAGGACGCTGAGGCAGAATGATTGCTTGAGCCCAGGAGGTTGAGGTTGCAGTGAGCCATGATCATACCCCTGCACTCTAGCCTCAGTAACAAAGCAAGATCCTGTCTGCAAAAAATAATAAAATAAAATGAAAATCTACTAATTGAAAGGGAAAAAGGCACAGTATAATGCCATGCGTAAGAAAAAGAAGAGACCTTTGTTTGTGTGTGTTCACACTAAAAAAATAATCTGGAAAGCTCTACGTCAGAATGTTTATAGTGGCAATTTTTTAGTTTTAGAATCACAGATGATCTTTCCACTTCCTGGTTTTTCTGACTTTTTTCTTTTTGCAACGGGTGAGTATTGCTGGAAAAAACCACAGATGATTGTGAAATGATTTTTGTCAACAACAAAAAAAGATAAGGAAACACAAAATTTGTTATGTATGATTTATCTTGGCTGGGGGTTAAAATTCATTTCCAGAGTAGAGTTCAGAGAAAGGATGGGCTGCTAGTTGCTGGTTAAAGGACAAAGAATAAGTTCCAGAACACGGAAGAGTGAGCAGGTGAAATTCAACACTGGGATCGGGAGTGTTTGATTTGCTAAAGGAAAATGCAAAGACGGCTCCTCCCTTCCAAGGAAACGAAACCAACAGCAGCCGAGGCTCGGCCAGCGGAAGAGATATAAGCTAATAGGTCTGGGAGGCAGTTCTGTTGCCACAGGCTCTCCTGTCAATGATGGAGCTCAGAAATACCCCAGCCAGAGATCTGGACAAGTTCATCGAAGAGAATCTCTTGCCAGACACACATTTCCGCAAGGAAATCAACCAAGCCATTGACATCATCTGTGGATTCCTGAAGGAAAGGTGCTTCCGAGATAGCTCCTACCCGGTGCACGTGTCCAAGGTGGTAAAGGTGAGTCCAGGCCTGCCTGGCCGGGGAGGGGTGGCTGAATGTGCAAGAGTTGAGACTGAGAATCAGACACACAGAGAGAGACACAGAAAGAGAGAGAGAAGCAAAAATCTAGAACCCAGGGTGCAAATGTGAGTCCAGAGAACTGAGATCTTCTGATTTATCCACATAGATTGTTAAGATAGAATCTGGGGTGAAAGCCTACATCCCTATTATTAACAGGTGACCCCCCCCCTAAAGTTTATGAACCGCTGTCCTAGGTCATGCCCATTTCAGAAATAGAGAAACTGAAGCACAGCTCTGGTAAACAGTGCCCAGGCTAGGGCTCACCATTTCTGCAGTGAAGAATAGTATGTTTTGAAAGCAAATATCACCTGCTGGCTGTGAGACCTTGAGCAAGTCACTTTACTCTGTGTCCCAATTTCCTCAGTCACAGTCCCCAATACTGTTGCAGTCTCGCTAATGCACCTTAATGCAGCAGCTTCTCATTGTCTGAACTAGTACCCGAGGTTCTTTGTCCTGCGTCCAAGAAAATTAAGGAACATGGACTCAGAGGTGAGCTTAGAGCAAAAGCTTAGTAAGCAAAAGAAGAAAGCTCTCTTCGCCACAGAGAGGGCAGTCTGAGTGGATTGCCAGATTACAGCTGAATGCAAAAAACTTTTATAAGAAACTGCTCTCCTCCCTGTAACTGTTTGAGAAACTTTTTGTCAGCAAAGCTGTGCAACTCCCCTTACCTTATGCAGCTGTGAGGACGTCTCTAGACAAGCACACAGCGCTGCTTCTCTTGTGTGTATAACTGTGGATTTGTTTTACGTAAGGCCCCCTACCTGTGCTAGTTTCAAGCAGGCTGTTTCTCCAGGACCCAGCCTTCACCATTCACCTAACTGTTTTTTCCTCTTCTTCCCCTCAATACCTCACAGGGCTGTGCAGATTAAGTAAAATAGTTAAGTGTGAACCACCCAGCATAAGCTAGTCAGGAAAAGAACACATATCCCAGACGGAGGCCCCCAGGTTTCGATTGTATCTGCCACCTACTATCTGGGAGATGGAGCTGATCTATAATCTCATTGATCATCCATTTTCCCATCTGTAAGATAGAAACTAATGATAATGGTACCCAAACCACAGCATCACTGTGAACATTATAGGACTTTAAGACATGCAATGCCTTCAGAACAGCAGCTAGTGCTCCATAATGTTAGTGATTGTTCCTGTCATTTTATTTAGGGAGGTTTGCCTCGCTAAGCATCGGTTACTGTGCTTGTCTTTTTCAGGGTGGCTCCTCGGGCAAAGGCACCACCCTCAGAGGCAGATCTGACGCTGACCTGGTTGTCTTCCTCAGTCCTCTCACGACTTTTCAGGATCAGTTAAAGCACCGGGGAGACTTCATCCGGGAAATTAGGAGACAGCTGGAAGCCTGTCAAAGAGAGGAAGTATTTTCTGTGAAGTTTGAGGTCCAGACTTCTCACTGGGACAGCCCCCGTGCGCTGAGCTTCGTGCTGAGTTCACCCCGTCTCAGGAAGGGAGTGGAGTTTGACGTGCTGCCTGCCTTTGATGCCCTGGGTAAGAGCTCCCAGCTTCTTTTTCCCCCTTTTCCAATTTTGGAGCAGAAATCTCCCACAGCTTGAGGCTTTTTTGCCCCAACAGGGCATCCCTCTAAGGCAGGGTGGGAGGAGGAAATCTTAGGATCTCTCCCTGGGCAAGAATGACTAACATCATGATCTATTACAGAAGAGACATTAAACAGCAAATTGGCATAATTCCAGGACGAAGTCATTTCTTACAGAACAGCTGCAAGGCTTACTGGTTCTGGTTATGGCAAAACATGTGAATTTTATCTTTCTAAAATCCGAGAGCAAAGATGTGGCTTAAAGTTCATATTACTTTCATCTTTGTCCCAACATGAGGAGATCTCATCAAACGTATGCAGCAGGTTGGGAGACAGATATTTATAACCTGCAGGAACATTTGAAAAGGAAGCATAACCTCTTGGAGGCCCCATTTCCACATCAGGAGAATTGGTAAAACCATGCTACCTATATCATATCGTTATTTTAAGTGGTAAATGATCACTTAGTGCTTATTAGTCATCAGACATTCAGGTCTGATGAGTAATAGGTGTTCAAAAATGTGAATTTCCAGTAGGTGTAGTGGCTAATGCTTGTAATTCCAGCACTTTGGGAGGCTGAGGCAGGGGATCGCTTGAGCCCAGGAGTTCAAGACCAGCCTGGACAATGAAGTGAAATCTTATCTCTACTAAAAATTTTAAAAAATTAGTTGGGTGTGGTGGTACATGCCTGTGGTCACAGGTATTCAGGAGGCTGAGACTGAAGGATCCCGTGAGGCCAGCCAGGTGTTTGAGGTTTCAGTGAGCCATGAAAATGCCATTGCACTCCTGCCTGGGCACAGAGCAAGAGCAAGACCCTGCCTCAATCAATCAGTCAATCAATCAAAACTATGAATTTCCCAACTGTATGTGAAGGCACCTCAGAACACCACAGTGAACTCACAGAGGGCCACAGAATAGTTTAGATTTTAATTTTTGAGGGAAATGCAATGACATCTGTCAGATACAATGCAAACAGCTACTATTAAATTGTTTGAACTTAGTGATTAGTGGCTACTAATTAATAGTTGGTAATAGTTGGTAATTATTAATAGTTGGTAATTATTAGTGATTAATTAGCAAGTAATTAGTACTTAATTAAAGGAACTGTCAGGGTCTTCTTTGGGCTAGGGCAGCCATGAAAAAAAAAAATGCTGACACTCTGAAGACACCAGGGTATGAGAAAGTTTTGGATTCTCTCCTTTGTGCCATATCTTGTGTTGGGGACTGGAGTACAGGTCGTGGTGGCTCACTCCTGTAATCCCAGCACTTTGGGAAGTCAAAGTGAGCAGATCACTTGAGGTCAGGAGTTCAAGACCAGCCTGGCCAACATGGTAAAATGCCATCTCTACTAAGAATGCAAAATTTAGCTGGGCGTGGTGGTGGATGCCTATAATCCCAGCTACTTGGGAGGCTGAGGCAGGAGAATTGCTTGAACCCAGGAGGCAGAGGTTGCAGCAAGCCAAGATCACACCACTGCATTCCAGCCTGGGCGACAGAGCGAGACTCCATGTCAAAAAAAAAAAAAATGAACATAAGGAGTTATTAAAAAAAAAAAAAAACCTAAGTAAAGTGGGGGGAAACAATAGACAGCCATGGGTGTTCGGGGTGAGGGAGGGCCCCTGAGCCTGATGGTGAGAAGGAGTGCACCATGGGAAGATCTGGGGGTTCTGGGAAGAGGACCGGCAAGTGCAGAGGCCCTGAAGCGGCAATGACCGTGGCACGTTTGAGGAAGACAGAAAAGGTCAGAGCAGTAGCAAGTGAGCAAAGGAAGCAAGACAGGAGGTGAGGACCGAGAGGTTGCAGAGACCAGATCACCCCGACATCACTGGCCACCATAAAGACTTTGGGTTTTAAAATTCCAGGTGTTGTGGGATGCAGGAATCAGCAAGATCAGATTTTAAAAGCTCTCTCTAGGTGCCAGGTAGAGAACAGGCTGTGGGGGAACCTGTAAAGAGGTTGCCTCCATCATTCAGGCATGTGACGGTGGTGGCTTGGATGGGGTGATGGCAGTGGAGAGGGCAGGAGGGAGGATCGAGAATGGACCTCAGGCTTCCCAGCCCTGGGCCTAATGCACTTTCCAGTCGAACCCCATGGCCAGGGAGCTTGTCCCCCAGGGTGACTGAAAGAACCTCAGAAAAGAGCTGACACCTAAGTTGTAGGTTTTGCCTCAACAGGTCAGCTGACTGGCATCGATAAACCTAACCCTGAAATCTATGTCAAGCTCATCAAGGAGTGCATCTTACTGCAGAAAGAGGGCGAGTTCTCCACCTGCTTCACAGAACTACAGAGAGACTTCCTGAAGCAGCGCCCCACCAAGCTCAAGAGCCTCATCCGCCTAGTCAAGCACTGGTACCAAAATGTATGGCCCTCCTGCCAGGCCACAGTGGGTCCTGTCTGGACTGGGAGCAGAGGAGGTGTGGGGGGAGCAGAGAAAGAAGTGAAGGAAAGAGGAGGGGGAATGCTGGAGGGAATAGAGGGAGGGAAAGAGGAGAGAAAGGAAAAAGAGGTGGAGAGGGAGGAGGGAGGAGTTTGCAATGAAAAAAGAAAAGAGAATGAAAGGGAGGGAAGGGAGGAAGGAAGGGATTTTGGTGTTCTGTTCGCTGCTGTATCCCAAGAACTTAGAACAGAGCCTGGCACATAATAGTTGTAAATAATTGTTGAATAAATGAATCAGTGCTACACACACACACACACACACACACACACACACAGAGAGAGAGAGAATGAGAAAGAGACAGAGAGAGAGCTCGAGAGAGAGAAAGAGAGAGAGTCAACCACACTCTTCAGAAGGTAGATAAGACAAAACAAGAGTTTCAGAGAAATATATGTTCAGATGCCTTTTCTACTTACTGGCTGGCTGACCTTGAGTAAGCAACTTAACCTCTCTGTTCTTTCTGTTTTCTCATTTGCAAAGAGTAGCATGTCACAGCTAGAGTAAAATGGCATATAGCTGGTGCTAATAAATGCGATATCTTTTAGCCACCACAAGAGTACACATAATAAAAGCTAACATGTATTGTGTGCTTAGCTCATCTAAGATGTGATATGCTTTTCTGTTCACTTTAAATGCCCTGAATTTTAGTCAACTTTCACAGTGATTCTGTAAGTTAGATAAAGTTAGGTATTATTATTAAACCCATTTACACTTAGGTCAACAAGAGTAACTCCTGGGTCAGGTGACTAATTTGGCCAATAACTAGCAGAAGTAAAACTTGAATTTGGCTGGGCACAGTGGCTCACACCGGTAATCCCAGCACCTTGAGAGGCCACGGCAGGGAGTTCAAGACTAGCCTGAGCCATGTGGCAAAACCTTGTCTCTACAAAAAACTAAAAAATTAGCCAAGTGTAGTGGTGAGCACCTGTAGTCCCCACTACTGGGGAGGCTGAGGTAGGAGGATCACTTGAGCCTGGGAGCAGAAGGTAGCAGTGAGTCAAGATTGTACTACTGAACTCCAGCCTGGTGACAGAGAAAGATCAAACAAACAAAAACTTGAATTTGGGTCTACTGACTTAGGAGTTTGCCTGATAATAACAGGCATTCAATATATATTTCTTGAATGAATGAATGAAAATAATCAGGGATAAACTTCCCAATTTAAAAATAACACCTCTAGGTAAAACAAGACAACCGTTTAGTTGCTAGACTTCTAAGTGTTTGCTGTTCCATGAATTTTAATCATGGAGCCCCTGAGCATGGTAGAATTTACAAAAGCAGTTCTTGACAAAAGCAGCACTGCCCCCAGGGACATGTTGAAAATTAGACCAGGCACGGTGGCTCACACTGTAATCCCAGCACTTTGTGAGGCTGAGGTGGGTAAATCACCTGAGGTCAGGAGTTCAAGACCAGCCTGACCAACATGGTGAAGCCCCATCTCTACTTAGAGAGAGAGAGAGAGAGGAGAGGGAGAGAGATATGAAAGACAGAGTAAGGTCTAACATATTTAAAGTTTTTATTTTATTCTGTGAATATGACATTACTAGTTATTTTAAAAATTTTATTATTTTTTAGTATTATGTTTTATTTGCACTTCTTTTCTGTGATGTGAGCACACACAGATTCATGTGTGCATATATATATAATTATATACCTGTAATTAGCTGGGTGTGGTGGTATATGCCTGTAATCCCAGCTACTCAGGAAGGTGAGACGGGAGAAGGCCTTGAAAACCAGGAGGCGGAGGTTGCAGTGAGCCAAGGTTGGGCCACTGCACTCCAGCCTGGGCAACAGAGCAAGACTCCATCTCAAAAAAAACAAAAGAAAATTAATGAGGGTGTTTTGGTAACCATGGTCATAGGAGGACATGGGTGCTACTTATATTTAGTGGAAAGAGGTAGGAATACTAGTTGTATAATGATCAAGAGAGTCCTACACAGCCCAGAATTGTCTGTCTTTCTTTCTTTATGCTGTTCTCCTTTAAAACAAGACAAGATTACAGTAATTTAACTCCGCTAACCACCATCATTACCACCTCCAATTTATATGCTACATTTCTTGTATATTTCAAGTCTCTCTATATTTTCAAGTGCCTCGAAGCATTATTATTGTTTTAGAGCCAATGTTTATTTAATCTACTCAGAGATTTACTGCTTTCTTCACTATTCATTCTTTCTTACACCTCTAACATTCCATGTGGGGTCATTTTCCCAAATGACTGTTCATCCTTTGGGATTTCTTTTGATGATGGCCTATTGGTAGTAAACTCCCTCAGTTTTTGTTTGTCTGAAAATGTCATGTTTTTGCCTTCGTCGTTGAAGGGTGCTTTTGCTGGGTGGCCATTTCAGTACATTGAATACGTCATTCCATCTTCCAGTGTCATCATTAAAAAGCCAGTTGCCAGTCTAACTGCAGCTCCTTTGTAAGTAACCTATTTTATTCTTCTGGCTGCATGTAAGAGTTTTTCTTTGTCTTTGATTTTGTTTAGCTTCAATCTGCTGTGTCTTAATGATGGGCTCCGATAATTTGTCCAGATTGGGATTCCTTTAAGATTCCTGAATCTGTGTATTGGTATCTTCAGTTTTAAAACTTCTCAGCCATTCTTCTAAAATATGGATTCTCCCCCATTGTCTCCTCACCTCCTGGAATTCCAATTAAATGTATGTTAGACCTTACTCTGTCTTTCATAGCTCTGTACTCTTTTTTGTATTTTCTTTTTATCTATTTTTTCATGCTTTATTCTGAATAGTTTCTTCTAATTTACCTTTGAATTAAGTAATTTTCTCTTTAGCTATATCTAATTTACTGTTAAGCTATTAATTATAGTTGCCATTTTTATCCTAAAATTTCTATTTCTTTTTTTATATCTGTCATGTTACTTCTTATGGCTTTTAATTTACTACTAATTTTTTTTTTTTTTGAGACAGGGTCTCCCTCAGCCACCCAGGCTGAAGTGCAGTGGTGCTATCTCAGCTCAATGCAACTGCTGTCTACTAGGTTCAAGAGATTCTCCCATCTCGACCTCCTGTGTAGCTGGGATTACAGGCACCCACCATCATGCCTGGTTAATTTTTGCATTTTAGTAGAGACAGGGTTTTACCATGTTGGCCAGGCTGGTCTTGAACTCCTGACCTCCGGTGATCCACCCACCTCAGCCTCCCAAAGTGCTAGGATTACAGGCGTGAGCCACCACCCCTGGCATAATTCCCTACTAACTATTTAAAGTTTTTATTTTATTCTGTGAATATGATATTCCTAGTTATTTAAAATTTTTTTATTATTTTTAGTATGATGTTTTATTTGCACTTCTTTTCTGTGACATGAGCACACACCAATTCATGTGTATACATATATGGCTCTGATACTTCTTCTTACCTGTCCTCATTCAAACCACTGATCACAGAGAGAGGACTATTTTTTTTATATTTAATTTTTCTATTTTGTTAGGTTTTTGGGGGAACAGGTGGTGCTTAGTCACATGAATAAGTTTTTTAGTGGTGATTTCTGAGATTTTGGTGTAGCCATCACCCAAGCAGTGTACATTGTACCCAATGTGTAGTCTTTTAAACTTCTCCATCCCCCTCCTTCCCCCCAGTCCTCAAAGTCCCATGTATCATTCTTATGCCTATGCTTCCTCATAGCTTAGCTCCCACATATATGTGAGAACATACAATGTTTGGTTTTCTGTTCCTGAGATACTTACTTAAAATAATAGTATTCATTTCCATCAAGGTTGCTGTGAATGCCATTATTTTGCTCCTTTTTATGGCCGAGTAGTATTTCATGGTGTGTGTGTGTGTGTGTGTGTGTGTGTGTGTGTGTGTGTGTGTGTGTGTGATATTATCCACTCATTGATTGACGGGCATTTGGGTTGGTTCCATATTTTTGCAGTTGCAAATTGTGCTGTTATAAACATGCATGTACGGGTATCTTTTTCATATAATGGCTTCTTTTCCTCTGGGTAGAGAGCTAGTAGTGGGATTGCTGGATCTAATGCAATCCCATTAGAATTTTAGTTCTATAAGGAATCTCCAAGCTGTTTTCCATAGTGGTTGTACAAGTTTACATTCCCACCAATAGTGTAGAAGTGTTCCCATTTTACCACATCCACACCAACATCTATTATTTTTTGATTTTTTATTATGGCCATTCTTGCAGGAGTGAGGTGGTATCGCACTCTGGTTTTGATTTGCATTTCCCTGATAATTAGTGATGTTGAGCATTTTCCCACATGTTTGTTGGCTATTTGTGTATCTTCTTTTGAGAGTCCTCTGTTCATGTCCTTAGCCCACTTTTTGATGGGATTGTTTGTTTTTTCTTGCTGATTTGTTTGAGTTCTTTGTAGATTCTCGATATTAGTCAGATGTATAGATTGTGAAGATTTTCTCCCACTCTGTGAGTTATCTGTTAACTCTGCTAATTATTATTTCTTTTGCTTTGCAGAAGCTTTTTGGTTTAATTAAGTCCCATCTATTGATCTTTGTTTTCATTGCATTTGCTTTTGGGTTCTTGGTCATGGAGTCTTTCCCTAAGCCAATGTCTAGAAGGGATTTTCCGATGTTATCTTCTATCATCTTTATGGTTTCTGGTCTTAGATTTAAGTGTTTGATCCATTTTGAGTTGCTTTTTGTATAAGAGGAGAGATAAGGATCCAGTTTCATTCTTCTACATGTGACTTGCCAATGATCCCAGCACCATTTGTTGAATAGGGTGTCCTTTCCCCAGTTTGTGTTGTGCTTTGTCAAAGATCAGTTGGCTTTATTTCTGGGTTCATTATTCTGTTCCATTGGTCTATGTGACTATTTTTATACCAATACCATGCTGTTTTGGTGACTATGGACTTATAGGATAGTTTGAAGTCTGGTAAGGTAATGCCTCCAGATTTGTTCTTTTTACTTAGTCTTGCTTTGGCTATGTGGGCTCTTTTTTGGTTCCATATGAATTTAGTTTATTACTATTTCTCTTTTTTTCTGTTGGTCATCACTCTTAGTGTTTTGTTTCCTTGTGTGCCTGGTTACATATGTGCTCATCATGGTATTTGAAAATTATTTGTAAAATAATTTGAGGTTTTGGATTATGTATACTCCTCCACAAAGAATTTTGTTTGCTTCTGTGCATTTCTTAGGAACATTACAAGTCCTTCTTCTCAGTTAATTTTCATAATATCCTTCTAAGGTAGGTGCTATTGTGGTCACTCACGAAGCAGATGAAAATAATGAGGCTCTGAGAGCCTAAGTCATCTACTTAGAATTGGACAATGGTGAAGCCAGGATTCAAACCTACATCAATAAGAATCCAGAACTCTTAACAAGAGGCCAGCAAACTTTTTTTTTAAATAAAGGGCTAGATAGTAAATATTTTAGACTTTGTGGACTGCACATCCTCTGTTGCAACTGCTCAACCCTGCTTTTGTAGCATGAATGCAGTCATAAACTATACAATAATGAATGAGCCTTGATTTGTTCCAAGAAAACTTTATATCTAAAAACAGGTGGCAGGCTGGACTTGGGCCAATAAGAAGTGTAGTTTACACAAAAGTTGAGCAAACCCATTTTTTTTCTGATTGTTTTTCCTCTTCTCAGTGTAAGGAAAAGCTTGGGAAGCCACTGCCACCTCAGTATGCCCTGGAGCTCCTGACGGTCTATGCTTGGGAGAAAGGGAGCTTGAATACAGACTTCAACACAGCCCAGGGATTTCGGACGGTCTTGGAATTAGTCATAAACTACAAGCAACTCTGCATCTACTGGACAGTGTATTATGACTTTAAAAACCCCAGTATTAGACAGTACCTGAGCAGGCAGCTCAGCAAACCCAGGTATGCTATCCCCACATGGATTAGCTCCCATATATAAATGAACACCTGGGTACAGGTGCAGTGCCTTGTAAATGGAGGAGGTGGGAGGGATCCCCACTTGGTGAGAATCTCAGTTTGCCTGTCATTGTGCTGGGCATTTTACTACTGCCATTTGATTTAAATGCTTACCTCTAACCCTGCGAGGCAGGCTCTATGCCAATCATTTTACAGGTGAGTAAACTGAGGTTCTGAGAGGTAAGGAGCTTGTCCAACCCTTAACAGAAAATGAGTAAAATAGCTGGAATTTGAACTGAAATAAGAACAGCAGCAACAACAATAACAGTAATTGCTCCCAGGTATTAAAAGCTTGCTGTAAGACCAACACATGCTAATATAATAGTAAAAATTATTATCAGTATGACTGACATGTGTGTCATGTTCTAGTCACTGTGCTAAGCATTTCACATTACTTGGCTTTTTCTTTCCTCACACTATAGCCTTTGAGATAGGCATGTGGAAGTACCCGCATCTGACAGAAAGAAACCTGAGGCTTAGAGAGTTCAAGTGACCTAACCAAGGGCACATCACTGATAAAGGGCAGAGGTGGGATTCAAACCCACATCTGTCAGGCGCAAGTGCAAGGCTCCCTCTCCCCGTGCTTACTGCCCGCTGGGGAATAGGGCACAGGGGACGTAACCCTGGGAGCCCCTCCTCACGCTCTGAGTCCCAGCCCATCCCAGGCCACATTTTGCTCTGCCAGGAGCATCTGGACTCCGGGACAGAGCACCAGCTCCTCACCTGTCCCTCTCTCAATGTTGCTCTACAGGCCTGTGATTCTGGACCCGGCTGACCCTACAGGAAACTTAGGTGGAGACCCAAAGGGTTGGTGGAAGCTGGCACGAGAGGCTGAGGACTGGCTGGATTACCCATGCTTTAAGAATTGGAATGGGTCCCCAGTGAGCTCCTGGACTCTGTCGGTGAGACCTCCTGCTTCTTCCCTGCCATTCATCCCTGCCCCTCTCCACGCAGCTTGAGACTTATAGTTTGAGACCATTCTTTTTTTTTTTTCTTTTTATACTTTAAGTTCGGGGGTACATGTGCAGAATGTGCAGGTTTGTCACATAGGTATACATGTGCCATGGTGGTTTGCTGCATCCATCACTCCGTCATGTACGTTTGGTATTTCTCCTAATGCTATCCCCCCATCCCCCCACCTCTTGCTATCCCTCCCTCAGCCCTCCAACTCCCACATACCCCAGTGTGTGATGTTCCCTTCCCTGTGTGCATGTGTTCTCATTGTTCAATACCCACTTGTGAGTGAGAACATGCGGTGTTTGGTTTTCTATTATTGTGTCAGTTTGCTGAGAATGATGGTTTCCAGCTTTTTCCATGCCCCTGCAAAGGACATGAACTCATCCTTTTTTATGGCTACATAGTATTCCATGGCATATATGTGCCACATTTTCTTTATCCAGTTTATCATTGATGGGCATTTGGGTTGGTTCCAAGTCTTTGCTATTGTGAATATGCAGCCAACAAACATACGATAAAAAGAAAGCTCATCATCACTGGTCATTAGAGAAATGCAAATCAAAACCACATTGAGATACCATCTCACACCAGTTAGAATGGTGATCATGGCCGGGCGTGGTGGCTCACACCTGTAATCCCAGCACTTTGGGAGGCCGAGGCGGGTGGATCACGAGGTCAAGAGATCGAGACCATCCTGGTCAACATGGTGAAACCCCGTCTCTACTAAAAATACAAAAATCAGCTGGGCGTGGTGGCGCGTGCCTGTAATCCCAGCTACTCAGGAGGCTGGGGCAGGAGAATTGCCTGAACCCAGGAGGCGGAGGTTGCGGTGAGCCGAGATCGCACCATTGCACTCCAGCCTGGGTAACAAGAGCGAAACTCCGTCTCAAAAAAAAAAAAAAAAAAAAGAATGGTGATCATTAAAAAAATCAGGAGACAACAGATGCTGGAGAGGATGTGGAGAAATAGGAATGCTTTTACACTGTTGGTAGGAGTGCAAATTAGTTCAACCACTGTGGAAGACAGTGTGGTGATTCCTCAAGGATCTAGAACTGGAGACCATTCTTTCCAATGTACTTACCTCTTGCCAAAGGCCATTTATATTCGTATAGTTGCAAGCTGTACTCCATATTTTACAGTCATTTTGGTCACAAACAGAGAGTTTCTAGAATTTTCACATCCCTCGTCCAGAGTTCATTCCCCTAAGAGTAATAATAAATAATCTCTAACACTACTTATTGATTACCTGCTTTGGGCTCAAGTTCTGTCCGAAGCCCTTTAATATACACTATTTCATTAAATATTCACAACAATCCCATGAAGCATGCTCTCTTTTTAAAAATTTTTATTATTTTAGATTCAGAGGGCACATGTGCTATTTGTTACACAGCTATGTTGTGTAACGGTGAGGTTTGGGCCTCCACTGATCCTGTCACCCAGTCAGTGAACATAGTACCTAATAGGAATTTTTCCCTTGCCCTTCTCCCGTTCTCCTCCCCTTTGGAGTCCCTAGTGTCTATTGTACCCATCTTTAGCAGATGTTAAGTATTTGTTTTTCTGTTTCTGGCTAAATCCTGAAGGCCTTAAGATAATGGCCTTCAGCTGCATCCATGATTTCATTCTTTCTTATGGCTGCATAATATTCCATAGTGTAGATAGACCACATTTCTTTATCCAATCCACCACTGATGCGCACTGAGGTTGATTTCATGACTGTCCCAGAAGCTGGGGTTTGTTAGTCCTTCCTCAAAGGGGGATCCAGCTGGCATGTCATAGCGTCCACCATAAAAGCTCAGTGAGCTCCAGCTGCAAGGTAGGAAGACTCCCTGATGTGATCATGTGTCTCACCCTTTCAGACTGAAAGCATCAGTGAGGACGATGAGACCTGCGATCCCAGGATGTATCAGAAATATGGTTACATCAGAACATATGAGCCCTCTTATTTTTCTCAATACTCCAGCACATTCCAGAAAGCATCTACTCCACAGGAAGAAGAGAACTGGACGTGCACCATCCTCTGAATGCCAGGACATCTTAGGGGAAAGGGTTCCAGTGTTATCCGGACCAGCCCCTTCATTTCCAGGTGGGACCCTTGATCCAGAGAGGACAAAGGTCCTCAGTGAGCTGGTACACGATCTGACAGAATCCAGGTCTCCTGACCCCTGGCCTTCTATGCCCTCTCTCCTATCATGGATAACATTCCCCACAGCCTTGCCTCACTCCATCTATTCTCTGAAAATATTCCCTGAGAGAGAACAGAGAGATTTAGGTTAGAGAATGAAATTCTAGCCCTGACTTTCTTCTGTGCACCTGGTGGGAGGGTTATATCTAATGTATTATCAATGACAATAAAAATAAAGCAAATACCATTTATTGGGTGTTTATTAACTTCAAGGAATAGATCCAAGAAGTACAGATGCATATCTAGAGGGGTGTGTGTGTGTGTGTGTGTGTGTGTGTGTACGTTGATTTAACAAGATGTATTTATTGAGAATTTACTATGTGCCAGGAATAGCTCTGGGCACTGGGAACACAGCAGTGCACAAAAGAAGACAGAAATCCCTGTCCTCATGACCCTGCAGAGCCAAGACTCCCAGAATTTTTTAAGTAAAAAAGTCTCTGTCCTCATGGAGTTGACATTTGTGCAAAGCATCTTAATATTAGATGGTTTTTCTATTACTAATCCTGAAATAAGCATCTTTGAGTCATCCTTTCTCCATATCTCTGAGAAAAATTTTAGAACTTCCCTGTGTGACACAGCAGCCACTAGCCACATGTATCTATTAAATGCTTGAAATGTAGCTAGTCTAAATGTGCATGTGCTATGAGTGCAAGATGTATACTTGGTTTCAAAGACTTAGTACAAACAAAAAGAATGCCAAGGTCTTGCCAACTGATAATTTTTTAAATTGTGTGCTGAATTGATAATTTTTGATATATTTGAGTAAAATCAAAATGAACTTCATCATTTTCTTTTCCCTTTTTAATTGTGGCTACTAAAAAATGTGAAATCACACATGTGGCTTGCATTACATGACGTATTTCTTTTTTTTATGGCATTTTAGGTTTTGGGGTACATGTGAAGAACATGCAAGATTGTTGCATAGGTACACACATGGCAGTGTGATTTGCTGCCTTCCTCCCCTTCACCTATATCTGGCATTTCTCTTGGACAGTTCTGCCCTCCTAGGTAAATCACTGGATTAAAGAATCAACTATACTGACTTACACTGCCACATCGTCACACTGTTCTTGGGACCAAGAACCAGCATCTCATTCATAAGACTCCAAAATATAAAACTCTCACAGATAGTCACAAAAGAACCAAACAAGTTCTTATCACCTGACTTGCTGGTCACTTGGGTGGCTGCCAAGCAGTCTTTGGTCTGTCCAGATTATATTCTTCCATTTAGCTTCTCAGCATCGCTGTGAGATGGGTTTTGTTGTTATTCTCATAATAATAAGTGGAAGAACCTGAGGTTCTAAGAGGTTACAGTGCTTGCCCCGGGTCACCCAGCTGGTCAGGGGCAGAATCTGAACTTGAACCCTAACCCTTCTCTCCGTAAAGCTCATGTTCTTAATCACCATGGTATGGTCTTCATGTGTCCTCATTCATTGAATTCTAATTTTTCCTACTCTGGCACCATGAGAACCAGAAGCACTGATGTCCAAGGCAGGGGAAGATGAATGTCCCAGCTCAACCTGAGTGCAGATTCACCCTTCCTCGGTCTTTTTGTCCTATTTGTAGACTGGATTAGATAATGCCAGTCTGCTGATTCAAATATAAATATCTTTCAGAAGCACCCTCACAGATACACCCAGAAATGTTTCACCAGCTATCTGGGCACCCTTAGCCCAGTCAAGTTATCACATAAAATCAATCATTGCACACTCCATGCTGATAGGCAAGTGTAGACATCCCAATGTAATGGCTTCATTGTATTTTACAATGTGGAAAATGCACTTGTGTTGCCTTTTGAGAGTGTTTCATGTTATAACAACGCCAAAGCCAACAGCAGATTAATGGAATCGGTAATTAGTTGCTCGATTGAAGAGCCACATGGCCACATGATCAGCCTTCCATCTACAACAGAGCCCGGTAGTGCACCAGGATTGTTTTTCAAAGGGCATATACGTTTTTGCTGCAAATGACATGGGCTTGCTCCAGAGTCCTGGGGGGTCTGTGTAATAATTCTCTAATTAGACATTGCCATAATCTCTGAATGACATCTTTTCCCATGACTGACAGTTGGAACGCCATGGGGTCTGCCATGGTGGTATGGCTCAAGTAGAGGGGCAACTTGCACTTCCTCACTGTGATAGCTCTCACTTAATCTCAGGCTAATGTGGGGTAGTGTCTTTTACCAAGCATGTCCTTTTTGAACATACCTTCAAGGGACAGGGAAATGATCACCAGGTAGGTCCACAGACACAGCGGGCAAATTACAAGCCTGACTTGGCCGGGGCTCCATTTTCCACTCTTGGCTCCTACATGGCCCTACTCTGATGGAGACAGAATCTGGTGACACTTTGGATCTTCCTGCATCGTTGTCAATGTTGATCCTCTGCCCAACAGTCTTTGAAATGTTGCGTGTTTCCCCTTTTTCAGTGTATCATCCTCTGAATAAATGGCCATAAGTCCCTTGGGGGAAACCATGACTATATATGCTATGGTGTTGCAGGGTCCTTTCCCAAGGGAACTCTGCCTCCTCCTTGTTATTGGGGTCTAGTCTGAGAACTGGGTCAGGTCCAACAACCGGGAAAGGATGATGACTTTTTATTGGAACGACTGCCCTTAGCCCCCTGGTCATCCAGCCTTGATTTCTTCTAATGGCATAAATTGAGTAGTGCCCTTTCAAGAGACTCATCCATTAAGTCACTAGGAGGCCACATTGTATTCATCGGGTCCCTAACTCTCTATGGGTCATGACCCCTGGCTGCCCCTCCAACCTCACCACTCATTATAATAACTGCACCCACTTGGCTTCTGCTGCTCTGGGAGTCCTGCCTGCCCTATTGCCCTTACCAATCCAAGCTCTGTAATAGCCCCTTTCCCCAGGAGGCCACCATCAAAACACCTCGTGAAGCAGGTGCCCCTCTCTCGAGCACATTCCTTATGACCTTGGGGAATATTTTGTCCCCTGGGACTCTATTTCCAGACTTACATAGCAAACATATCCACTTCTCTTCACTGTGCCCACTTCCCTTGGCCTTTTAACTCCTTCCACCAGCTCCACAGTAATTCTGGAATTTCACACTTTTCTGCATTTCTAGGAGCCATCCTAGGAGTCAGGGAAAACCTTGGCCTCACAAGCAAATGGGACAACAGTTGTGTGCCAACATGCCTGGCAAATTTTTTAAATCTTTTGTAGAGATGGGGTCTTGCTATGTTATCCAGGCTTGTCTTGAACTCCTGGCCTCAAAATCTTGCCTCCTTGGCCACTCAAAGTGCTGGGATCACAGCTATCATACCCAGACAAATTTTCTTATTTTAAAAGGCTGAATAATATTCCATTGTGTGCACTGCATGTATTAATTTTCTTTAACACATTTATCCATTTATAGTTGCTTAGGTTGCTTCCACTTCTTGGTTATTGTGAATAGTGCTGCAGTGAACATGGGAATGCAGTTATCTCTTCGATACGCTGATTTCAATTCTTTTGGACAAATACTCAGAAGTGGCACTGCTGGAACATATGGTAGTTCTATTTTTAATTTTTGAGGAACCTCCATACTGTTTTTCATAGTGGCTTCCCAACAAGAACAAGAGTTCCCATCCCTCTACATCCTCTCACTTGTTATCTTTTGTTCATTTATTTTTTTAAATGATCACCACGCTACCAGGGTAAGGTGATATTGCATTGTGATTTTGATTTGCATTTCTCTGATAATTAGTGACACTGAGTATCTCTTCAGACACCTGTTATCCATTTGTATATCTTCTTTGGAGAAAGATCTATTCCAATCCTTAGCCCGTTTTTAAATCAGGTTATTAATTTCTTTGCTATTGAATTGTAGGAGGTCCTCACATATTGTGGAGATTAACCCTTATTAGATATATGGTTTGCAAATATTTTCTTCATTCCGTAGATTGCCTTTCAGCTCGTTGATTGTTTCCTTTGCTATGCAGAAGTTTTTGGTCTGATGCAGTCCCAGTTGCCTATTTTTGCTTTTGTTGCCTGTGTTTTACCTAGTTGGCCAACTGATCTTTGACAAGATTGCCAAAAATACACAGTGGGGAAAGGACAGTGTCTTCAACAAATGGTGTTTGGAAAGCTGAATGCCCGCATGCAAAATAATAAAATTGGACCCTTACCTTACACCACACACAAAATCATCTCAAAATGAATTAAAGGCTTAAACATCAGGCCTGAAACTAAAACTACTAGAAGAAAACACAGGGGAAAACTTCATGACATTGGTCTTTCCAGTGATTTCTTGGATGTGACACCAAAACCACAGACAACAAAAGGCATTTATTGTTATATGGCATGTGAGGAAAGGGTTCAGTTCCAGTTCTTCCAATGTGGATGCTCAATTATCCCAGCAGCATTTGTTGAGGGACCATGCTCTCTGCAAAGCCACCTCTTAAATATTCCCAGAGCCCATCTATGTGGGAGTCTGTTTCTGGACTCTGCTCTTTTCCATTGGTCTATTTTTTGTATCCTTGAGTTAATACTGCCTTGTCTTCATTACTATAGCCTTATAAATCTTCGTATCTTTGGGAGAATTCTGTTCTCTTTTTATCAAGCCATTGGTTCCTCTTAGCCCTTCCTATTTCTACATTTGTTTTATACTCAATTTGTGACGCTCCTCCCAAAACATGGGGAGGCATTTGATTGGAATTACACAACTTAGTTTGGGAAGAATAATGTCTATATTTTATACATATCTATGTAGAATTTGATAATGCTGATCAGGAACTTGGAGTTTCTTTTCATTAATTTTAGCCCTCTTTAGCGGCTGTAACAATGTTTTATCATTTTCCCTGCAGAGATCTCTCACAGCCTTTGTCATAGTAATTCTCAGCCATCTGTTTCAGTACTGTTCTACTTGGCGCTCTTTCTTTCATTTCATTTTGTAATGATTGGTTCGTGGGAGACTTGAATGTTTTCAGCAGTGATATTTGGCTATAACATTATAGGTGATCTTTGTATTTTTCTAAATTTTCTGATTTTATTGACTTTTTGCACTAAACTTGTGTTATTTGTGTGGCCATGAGAAATAATAAACGTATTTTTCTTTAAAAAAAAAAAAAAAGCTTTTGAGAAGTATTTCTCTCAGATAAGCTCTGATCATTTGTGCAAAGTTGGCAGGCGCAGGCTACAGAAAGTTCTGGGGTACTGTTGTTTGGAGCTGCTGGTCCAAGGACAA